GGCAGGTATGGTAATACACACCTGTAATCTGATCACTAGGGAGGTGGAGGCAAGAGGCTAAGGAATTCAAGGCCATCCTGGACTATGTACAATCTATCTTAAAAACAACAAAGGTAAGAAACAGGTTATATTACCCATAAATTTATGTTACAGGGCTGGAGAGATGGCTCAGCAACTAAGAGCACTGGCTGCACTTACAGAAGACCTGTGTTTGGTTCCCAGGACCCATGTGGTAGCTAACAACAATCTTTAACTCAGGTTCAGGGGATACAACGCCCTTTTCTCATCTCTGTGGGCATTACACACACGGTCCATTTACATACATGTAGGCAAAATATACACAAAATTGAAAACTTAAAGATGTGTTATTTTATATATGGGGTGCTGGGTTTAAGAACTATTGAGTAACTTGAGAATATATGGTTCTTTGGTCTAAGGAACCCACGGTACAGCTTGAGAGCTACAGAACTCAATACATTTGATACATGTGTATTAACATCAAACATCATGGTGTAGCTGTCCTTAGTGTAACATAAAATTTTACATTCCATCAAAAACTTTAGAGGTTGAGATAAGAGGGTGGCTCTAAAAAAATTATGTATGTTGGGCTGGAGAGACGGCTCAGCCAGTGTTAAGAGCATTGCTGGCTCTTGCAGAGAACCAGGATTCAGTTCCCACATGGCTGCTAACAACCATCGGTTAACTCGAGTTCCAGGAGATCCAATGTCCTCTTCTGATGTGGGTACATTTCCATACATGCAGGCAATACACTCATACACAGAGAAAATAACATTTTAACAATTATATATGTAAATGGATAATACACACATATTCATATATTAAACACTGGCAAATGAAGGTTCACATATGTGGACTACACTGGTATGGGTGTCAAATAGGTAAAGAATAAATGCCACTTAATACTGTTGAGGATATAACTATCTTAACAGTCTGTGAAGACAGGAAGCAGAAAGCTCACCAATAAAGGATAAATTTATGTCATTAAACAGCAGGGCGAGTAATAAAAATGCATTCCATATACACTGCAACTGTAACAAGTGTTCTCATTTTTGTTTTGTTTTTGAGACAGGGTCTCACTATGTAGCCCTAGCTAGTCTCAAACTCACAGAGATCAGCCTGCTTCTGCCCCGAGTGCTGGGATTAAAAGTATGTGCCACAACATCCACCAAGAGTTCAAAATTATTAAATATTACAGATATTAGATGATTTCTGTATCCAAAGGGGGGACAAAGCCACATGTATATTATAGGAAAATTCTTACATATTCATAAGCAATTTGAGAAATACCTTGAAAGCAGGAGTAAAGGAGACAGGAATTTCTTACCTTCTACCCTTCTGTAGGGAAGAAAAATAAAGCATTTTTATTTATGTGTTTTATTTCTTCATACATTAAAAATTAGGATTCAGTGTTTGGGGAAGATGGCTAGACAAAGGGCTGTTCCCTTCAAAACCACATCAATGCAATACAATTACAATGAAAATAAACTAAAACATAAGTTAAAATACCGAAAAATCTTCAAAGCGTCATCACTTAATCAAAATAGAGCCACAAAATTTTACTCGGACAATTAGAGCAGAGACTAGATCTTACAAAAGCTGTCATCTGCATACTCTGGTAGGTTGGGGCTGTAGTGTGAGCCATTTGGACTCAACATTAGAGCCCAGAGTCTCCAGGACTACCATCAGGCTTTTTAGTATTTACTTCTAGACTACATAATCCTCAAGAATACAAATTTTTTAGCTCTACTTCACAAACAAAAGCTATTTGTAGGACTTGAAGACACTCATTTTGAATGTCTGCTTTAAAATTCCTTTACAATGCCCTAGTCTATCCTGTTCTCATCAAGTGTTACACAATTTGTTTTTTTAGTTTTGGTGGGAAAGCAGCAAGAAGTTCTGTGCAAAACTGGAGAAAGTACAATGTCTGGGGCAAAATTAAAATTCAAAAACGTCAGCCAGGTGTGGTGGCACATGCCTTTGATCCCAGCACTCTGGAAGATCTCTGTGAGTTCCAGGCCAGCTGGGGATACAGGGAGACCCGTCTCAAAAATACCAAAAAAAAAAAAAAAAAAAAAAAAAAGGCATGTGACCACAGGCCTACTATCTCATACTTCCACCAGCAGAGCAAATAAAATCTCAAGGATCCACAAATCTACACTCTTATCTAAGCTAGTAAAAGGAAGTCAAGGCATTATTCTGGAATTCACAGTAAGCAGGATAAGACAGTGTATTAAGATGCTAAAGAATAGTACCAAAATACTAATCCTATTTGCTGTAAAACAAGGAATACACATACCATAGCCTCACCGTTTTAGGGTCTGACAGTATGTGAGGGGCCTTGGGTACTGGGGAAAGCAGAGAGGTCTGTCTCAAGCCCTTTGCACTGAAGGATAATCTTAATCTCCCAGAGAGTCACACATGATTTTGTAAAATATGTGTTCTTTAAAACAGGAGAAAAATGGTGACATTTTGATGTTACAACATGTTTTCAGATACTCAAAGTTTTTTGGTCTTTTTGAGACAGGGTCTCCTTATAGTCCTGGCTGGCCTGGAACTCGCTTTGTAGACCAGGCTGGCCTTGAACTCAGAGATCTGTCTGCCTCTGTCTCCCAGTGCTGGGATTAAAGGCATGTGCCACCACACCCAGCTCTAGATTTTCATTTTTAAATTTTTATATGTATGAATTATGCCTGTATGTGTACCATGTACACGCAGTGTCAAGGGATGTCAGGTCCCCTGGAACTGGAGTTATAGATGCTTGTTAGCTGCCATGTGGGTGCTGCAAACCAAACCTGGGTCCCTCTGCAAGAGCAGTCAGTGCTCTTAACCACTGAACCATCTCTCAAGCCCCTATACACTTTAAATTTCTACACTGGTTTATGAGCCATGGTAATTATATAATATGGTAATTATAACATCAATCTGACCTAAAATTTTGTGTCTGATTAGTACCAAGTGAGAAAATTCAGTTCTGCAAGAGACAACTGGAGACTCATCACGTTTTTGTTTTTTCCTGACAGCTGGCAGTCAAACGCAGGACTTAGTATAGGCTTGGCAAGCACTCTACCAAAGAACCAAAACCACAGTCCTTGGTTTTTAGAGATAGGGTCTTCTCTATGTAACCCAGGTTGGTTTCAAATCTGTGATCTGGCTCAGTGCCATGATGATAGGCATACACCACACCTGGCTACTTAACTAAATTCAACCCTTTAAATCCACACTTGAGCATTCCAGAACTTGGAATCAATTTGAACACTTAACATTTATCTTAGTAATTTAGAGTATAGATACTTAAAACTACACATGAAAATATTCACTTGCACCTAATGAACCTTTGCCTCCATTGTCTTAAAATGTACATGATTAACAGGACATGCCTTTAATCCTAGCACTCAGGAGGCAGAGGCAGGGGGATTTCTGTGAATTCAAGGCCAGCCTGCTCTATGTATCGTGTTATAGGTTAGTCAAAGATGTATGAGTCCTGTCTCAAAACAAAGAAACCCAAAACTTACGTGATTAACCTAGCTTGTTCTAAGAGTGAGTCTAGAAAAAATTCCACTATTATTTTTATTACCAAAGGAAGTAAAATGGAGAAACACATGTCTAGCCCATTAGCTGAATATAGCTGGTCTAATTTATTCCAGCCTATTCGATCTTTCCCTCTTCACAAAGTGAATAAGGGTCACTAGGTGTCCCAGAACTAGGGAGGTAGAGGCAGGGATTCTCTGTAAGATCAAGGCCAGCCTGGTCTACATAGCAAGTTCCAGGCTAGCTGGGGCTACAGGGAGACCGTCTCAAAAAGACAAAACAAAACAAAAAAATCCCAACACAATCCCCACAAAAAACCCTTGAAGTGATTAAGGGGGAATTAAATTCTAGGTTTTTAATATATACTCTGCACCTGACCAAAGCTATGAAGCTATTTAACTCCTAAAGCAGCTGTTTCTTCACTTGTAAAGTGGAGAAATAACATGTACATATCAAAGGCTAATGTGCATGTAAAGTGACTGGAACACTGCCTGACACAAGTAGTATTACGCATGTGTTTAGTTATCTAATTCCTATATAATATACATCAAATCCTTCTGCACAACTGGTATAATGTTAGCAATTTCACATCTTACAAGGAACTATCCATCCAGTACAAACAATTTCAATTTTCTATTACAAAAATACATCTTTTTGTAATATACTGGTGACCAGTTATTTTTTAACTTTACAACTCTATTTTTGTATGATCCTTTGTTCCTAAAAGTTGATACTTCTTACAAATGAAATACATCTTAGAATTTAAAAAACACGAGCATTCACTTCTAATAGCTGTAACTACTAGAATCTCACTCATCACACACCATTATCACCAGCACTTTTAAGGAAACTCTTAAAATGCTTATAAATGTACATTGCATCAACAGACAATAAATCAGCTCCAGGTGTGCCCAACCTATGGCCTGGGGCCTCAAACATCCCAAGACAGCTATCAATGCAATCAGTCCAACACATCTGCAGACCAACATCATGCTGCAAATGTCAAAAGGTTGAACACCCCTGAATCTTCCACACTCAGACAGCAGACAGTAGCAGGTGCAGAATGCTGAGATTATGAAGGAACATCAGTATGTCCAGAATGCTGAACAAGAACCATAACACTGATAGTAAGATAGCCATCTGTGGGACACTTAACTTTTAAAATTCTGTGATGAAAGCAAAGCTATTAATTTCATGTTTATTTTAAGGATCTTTGTCAAGTTTATCAGTGTGAAAAGGATGATTTCATAAGAACCACAACAAAGCTTCTCTAAGCTAGTGATTCCCACTCTGCTACTCACAGTTCAGTTGATCTTTTTTCTACAACGGCCATACCTTGTTTCCCAGGATCTGAACTATACAATGTATTGCAGATAAAATATTTTCAAGTTTGTTTTCAAATGATACGAGCAAAGAGCAGATCAAGTTCTCAAATTTATAGACAACCATACTGTAACAACTGACCAATATAAATGTCTTAATACTTTATTGTTTAATTCAGGAAGTAACACTGAAATTCCTAACACATACCTCACCTCCCCACCACCTCCTATACGTTTCTTATGCTATCATTCTGACTCTTAAGTAAAAACATCTCAAACTCAATCAAGTTTTACAACCACTACTTCTATCAAATGGTGATGCACCAAAATCCCAATTCTCATGAATTTTAACATATTTAACCTAAGACTGAAAAACTGTGCCTTAACTTTATTAAAAAAGATAGCCACATCAGTTTAATTACATATGATACTACCTATTCAATTTATTAAAAACATAATAATAAACTAGTGCTCCAAACTTAGGCTGTTCATGTGGAAGACACTACAAGAAGACACAATAGAGACTGCCTTGAAAGAAGTACAAATTCCTTCTGCAGAGATGGAGAAATAAAGGACAAATCTAGTTGTCTAAAAGACAATTCACTGTACACGTTTTATTTACAGTTTTGTACACTGTCTTAATATGAATGGGACCGCTTTTCTACTTGAGCCATTTTTAACCAAAGCAAAATAACCTAAGTAATACAAAGTGTTAAAATACAGCATAAAGATACAAAAACAGACATACTAATTCTAGTTAGGAATGTAATTATGGTGTTACATTTTTTTTTAATAATCCACAATTATGTTTAGGAAAT